CTGTCCCCAGCCTGTCCCTGCCACCAGGGCTGTCCCCAGCCTGTCCCCAGCCTGTCACTGCCACCAGAGCTGCCCCAGCCTGTCCCCAGCCTGTCCCCAGCCTGTCACTGCCACCAGGCCTGTCCCCAGCCTGTCACAGCCAGTGCTCAGTGTGGCACTGCCACCAGATCTGTCCCCAGCCTGTCAGAGCTGTCCCCATGTCCCCAGCCTGTCACAGCCACCAGAGCTGTCCCCAGCCGGGGGAATTTGGGGGATTTTGTGGCCAGTTCATGAGGAATTCTGCAGCCATGGGGCTGCTGACATTTAACTCCTTGGAGGGTTGAACACATTCACTTAGAACACCCATAAACTTCCAACCTCATATTTTCATGGAATCATGGAATGGGTTGGATGGAAAGGGACCTGAAAGATCATCCCACTCCACCATGGCAGGGTCACCCCCACTGTCCCCAGGGTCACCCCCACTGTCCCAGGGTCACCTCCCACTGTCCCCAGGGTCACCCCCACTGTCCCCAGGGTCACCCCCACTGTCCCCAGGGTCACCTCCACTGTCCCCAGGGTCACCTCCACTGTCCCAGGGTCACCCCCACTGTCCCAGGGTCACCCCCACTGTCCCAGGCTGCTCCAGCCCCAATGTCCAGCCTGGCCTTGGGCACTGCCAGGGATCCAGGGACAGCCACAGCTGCTCTGGCAATTCCAGCCCAGCCCCTCCCCACCCTCCCAGGGAACAATTCCTGCCCAAGATCCCACCCAAATCTCCCCTTTTCCAATCTGAAACCATTCCCTGCATGTGTGGGGCTGCTGCCGTGTAACTCCCTGGGGGCTGAGCATATCCAGGTACAAATCTAGGTCACAAATCCCATTTTCCTACAACTCCCATCAAGCTGCAGCCCCTCCATGGCAGCTGCACGGGTGATTGCTGCAGCTGATGGATCAGTGGCTGTGTGGGATGCTCTGGGAGCTGCAGCTCCTGCATTCCTGGCTGTGTTTGTTGCGTTTCTCAGGTGTGGGACCTGCGGCAGAACAAGCTCACCTACACCATGCGGGGCCACGCCGACTCGGTGACGGGCCTGAGCCTCAGCTCTGAGGGCTCCTACCTGCTCTCCAACGCCATGGACAACACAGGTACAGCCTGCTGGGCCTCCCAGGGGCTCCTCCGGGTGTTCCTCCCGGGAAAACAGCCCTCGGGCGGGGTGGGCTGCAGCGAGTCTGGCTCCGGAGCTAAACCGTGAGTTTGTGTCCTTGAGGGGGGAGCAGCTGCCTCGGATTGAACCAGCTCCTGCAGGACACTGGGGACAGGAGCCAGGACACTGGTTATCCTGCAGGACACTGGGGACAGGAGCCAGGACACTGGGGACAGGAGCCAGGACACTGGTTATCCTGCAGGACACTGGGGACAGGAGCCAGGACACTGGGGACAGGAGCCAGGACACAGGGGACAGGAGTCAGGACACTGGTTATCCTGGGGGACATTGGGGACAGGAGCCAGGACACTGGTTATCCTGAAGGACACTGGGGACAGGTTATCCTGCAGGACATTGAGACACAGGTTATCCTGCAGGACAATGGGGACAGGTTATCCTGCAGGACACTGGGGACAGGTTATTCTGCAGGACATCGAGACACAGGTTATCCTGCAGGACAATGGGGACAGGTTTTCACGCACTCTGGCTCGTGTCAGGGTGGCTCTACCGTGTCCCCTCACAGCCCAGCTGTCCCCCTGCCTGTCCCAGTGTCCCTCAGTGAGGCTGAGCCCATCAGGACCGTGCCCATGGGATGTGTCAGGATGAGGAAAACCCTCCTGTAAGGAGCTGGTGGCTCATTTGTGGGATGGCAGGTTTGGAATTTGCCTCCTGCAGTGAAAGCTGCTGCTCCCTGTGGCCCTGGGGAAATGAGGGATCAGGGAGCCTGTCCTGGGCACGGGGTTTGGCCAGGGCTGTCCTTTCCCTGTCCCCCTCAGCTGCTGCCTCTGACTCCCGCAGTTCGGATCTGGGACGTGAGGCCCTTCGCCCCCAAGGAGAGATGTGTGAAGATTTTCCAGGGAAATGTCCATAATTTTGAAAAGGTGAGTGTGCTCCAATCCTTGTTCAATTCTCCCTGCTATTAACTTTCCTCTAAATTGTTTTTTTTTCAAGTTTAGGCCGGAAAGGCTTTAATAAGAATTCAAAGAAAGATGAACACTCAAAGTGGGATTCCAATTAAAGGCTCAGTAACAAGATTTCTTTGCTCAGTTCAGCTGTAATTAGCTGTAAATTAAGTATTTTCCACACTTACCATCTACTTTGTGTAAAATAACAAGGCACTGGCTGTTTCCAGCAATAAAATAAAATCTGTAATTACCATCTCATCTTCCAAGGGAGATCATTAAAGTGGTGCTGGCTAAAGTCTCGTGGTGATTTTAATTCAAGGAGAAGGGGGAAACTAAATAGATCTGTGAATGTTCTTTTGTTTTAGAACCTTCTGAGGTGCTCCTGGTCCCCAGATGGCAGTAAAATTGCAGGGGGCTCTGCTGACAGGTGAGTTGCCACTGCTTTCCTCTGTCCCCATCAATCCAGGATGGATTTGCAGCATTCCTGCGTCGGAATCTCAAGGCTCAGGGCTGTGTGTGAAGGTGTGAAATCCCAAACAGCCCTCAGGGAGTTTTCCTGATTTCCACGGGGATGTGGCTCTGTTGCTTTGGTGGGGGAACGTCTGAGTGTTGTAAAATCTGGTTGTTATTGACAAAAGCTGGCTGAGGATCTGCCCTGTCCCACCAGGGCATCCCCAGCAGGTGACAGGGACATCCCTGCCCTGGGGGGACCCCTGGCAGAAGCTTGGGAGGGTCTTTGAGGGCAGGGTCTGGGGATGAGGAGCACAAATCCCAGCTAAATCCCTGCATGGTGGGGTCCCAGGGATCATTAATGACTCCTAATTAAGGAGAAATAAGGATCAGTTGGCAATAAAGCAATTGGAAAGAGATTCAAAGATAAATGAAAGATCTGTAAAGTGAGCTGAGGAGCGAGAAGGGAAGCAGAGGAAGCAGAACAGGGTCTGATGTCCCCTGTGAAGGACACCAACGTCCCCTGGAGCAAATCCAGGCCCAAATGCAGTGGCAGGGAAGCAGGAATTCCTGCAGGCCGGGGCGTGGAGCAGCAGTGATCAGCAGCTGAAGGAGTTTGTGGCAGCAGAGGGGCAGAACTGCAGCTCTCCCTGTCCGGATTCACTGGGGCTCAGCCCCCAGCCCTGCTGGGCACGGAGTGGGGCAGGATCCAGCCTGGCAGAGCTGGTATTCGTTTTTTTATTATTCTTTTTAGGGTTTTGTGGGGTTTTTTTTAGGTGTATCTGCAGGAAAAGCAAAGCAAGATTAAACAAACATTTTGTTTTGGGGTACCAAACATTCCCCCAGTGATTCCTCTCTCCTTCTGTGCTGGGTCTGTGTTGGAGATATTTTATTATCTCCAATTTTATTTTCTATTTTATTGTAATTTATATTATTTTATTTTCATTATTTTATTACTTTATTTGTTATATCATAATATTATAATATTTATAATATGTTAATTATAATTAACATATGTTTTGTTATATATTATATATATGTGTGTTTTATTATATTTTTATGTTTTATTATATAATTATTACTATATATAATATAATATGTAATAATATATTATATAAATAATTATATTATTTATTTACATAATTAACATATAATTATAATTTAACATATATTAATATGTTAAATATATTATTTATACTGTTTAATATATTATATATTAAATGTGTTACATATTATTTAATCTATACTATTTTAATATTTGATATTTACTTAAATTATTATTTCTATTTCTTAAAATATAATATATTATAATATTGTATTACACATATAATATATTATATAATATATATTTATAGTAATATATAATTATTGATTATAAATATTAATTATAATAATGTAATATAATAATATTTATATAATATAAACATTAATTATAATAATATATAGTTATATATTCTATAATATATACTCTTTAAATTTTTATTTTAATATTTAACATATTAATATATGTTAAATATGTTAAATATGTTATCTATATTGCTTAGTATAGATAATATATTAAATATGTTATATATTATTTAATCTATAATTTAATATTTAATATTTATATGAATCTTTTTACTATTTCTTTAAATATTATATTTATTAATGGTTTTATTATTTATATATTATATTATATTAATATTATATTTTTATTATATTGTATTATATTATATTAATCTTATATTTATATTATATTATATTAATATTATATTTATATTGTACTATATTATATTATATTATATTATATTTATTATATTTTATTTATTATATTATGTTATATTATGTTATGTTATATTATGTTATGTTATATTATATTATATTACATTATATTATATTATATTATATTATATTATATTATATTATATTATATTATATTATGTAATATAATACCTGAATATTTATTTTTGCTGTTGGCTCCTCCGTGCTCAGCCCTGTGCAGTCCTGTGCAGGCAGAGCAGCATTTTTGTGCCTGGGGTTGTGTTTTTGCAGCCAGGGGTGATGATTGCAGAGCTGCCCTGGGCTCAGGGGTTCATTTGCTGTCCTGGCTGTGTCTCAGGTTTGTGTACGTGTGGGACACCACGTCCAGGAGGATCCTGTACAAACTGCCCGGCCACGCCGGCTCTGTCAACGAGCTGGCCTTCCACCCCGAGGAGCCCATCAGTGAGTGCTGCCCCTTCCTTCCTTGCTTCCCTCCCTGACTGCCTGTCCCATTCCCTCCCTCCCTGCCTCCCTGCCTGCCTGCCTTCCCCCCTCCCTGCCTCCATGCCCTCTCCCTCCCTGCCCCTCTCCCTCCCTGCCCCTCTCCCTTCCTGTCCCTCTCCCTTCCTGTCCCATTCCCTCCCTGCCTCCCTCCCTCCCCTGGGCACTGCCAGGGCTCCCTGAGCTCCTCATCCCACGGGATGCAGCCCCAAAAGTGCCACAGTGGCTCACAGTGCACCTGTGGGGCTGGCAGAGCCCTGTGTGCCCATCTCTGCTGGCTGGGGACACCCTGGGGCGGGGCTGGGGACACCCTGAGCTGGGCTGGGGACACCCAGAGGGTGACACTTGGCCCTTGGGGTGGCAGCCCAGCCTCCCCAGGCCCGTGAGGTTTGGGATGGTTTGGGATGAGGTTTGGGATGAGGTTTGGGATGAGGTTTGGGATGAGGTTTGGGATGGTTTGGGATGGTTTGGGATGAGGTTTTGGATGGTTTGGGATGGTTTGGGATGAGGTTTGGGATGGTTTGGGATGGTTTGGAATGAGGTTTGGATGGTTTGGGATGAGGTTTTGGATGGTTTGGGATGAGGTTTTGGATGGTTTGGGATGGTTTGGGATGAGGTTTTGGATGGTTTGGGATGAGGTTTTGGATGGTTTTGGATGGTTTGGGATGAGGTTTTGGATGGTTTGGAATGAGGTTTGGATGGTTTGGGATGAGGTTTTGGATAGTTTGGGATGGTTTGGGATGAGGTTTGGGATGGTTTGGGATGGTTTGGGATGGTTTGGGATGAGGTTTTGGATGGTTTGGGATGGTTTGGGATGAGGTTTGGGATGGTTTGGTTTTGGATGGTTTGGGATGAGGTTTTGGATGGTTTGGTTTGGGATTGTTTGGAATGAGGTTTTGGATTGTTTGGGATGGTTTGGGATGAGGTTTTGGATGGTTTGGGATGAGGTCTGGGATGGTTTGGGATGGTTTGGGATGAGGTTTTGGATGGTTTGAGATGGTTTGGAATGGCCATGTTTGGTGATTCCATGGACACGGATCACTGGGGGTCCCCAGAAGCTGTGGGGTCCCAGCAGTGCCAGCCCCAGGGCGGGTTGGGCTGGAGGGGACCCTGAGGGACGGTGACAGGCGGGGGGAGCTGGCAGCCAGCTGTGCTCTCCATGTTCCTGGGGACCTGGGGACACTTCCCTGGCCAGAGCTGCCCTCGAGTGGCTCTCGGCTCTTCCCGGGATGGAGATCCCAGCTCGGGATCCTCCCAGAGGGGTTCATCCCCTCTCCTTGCGCTTCCCAGCTCCGTCATTCCCAGCAGGGGATGGGATCTGTGGCACAGCACAGTCCCTGGGTGACTTTGGGAAACAACTGGAATTCAGCTTCCAGCGAAATCAGTTTGCTGCTGTGTCCTTAGGGAGGACACATTTCTAAATTAGGATAATTTTTAGATTCTGTTGCGGTTTTTATGTTTTATTTAATTTTTATATTTTAATATTTTATTTATATTTATAATTTTATAATATATATCTTCATAATGTTAATATTTACATTTTTATTTTAATTTTTATATTTTTATTTTAATTTTATGTTCTATTTTAATTTTTATATTGTATATTAATTTTATATTTATATTTTTATAAAATATATTTGTTTTATTTATAATTTAAATTTTTGTATTTTTTAATTTTATATTATATTTTATTTTTTATATTTTATTTCAATTTTATATTCTATTTTTATATTTTATTTCAAATTTTACATTCTATTTTTATATTTTATTTCAATTTTTACATTCTGTTTTTATATTTTATTTCAATTTTTATATTCCATTTCTTAATATATTTTATTTCCATTTTTATATTCTATTTTTTTATTTTATTTCAATTTCTACATTCAATTTTTATATTCCATTTTTATATTATACTTCAGTTATTATATTCAATTTTTTTATATTTTATTTCAATTTTTACATTTTATTTTTATATTTTATTTCAATTTTTACATTCTATTTTTTATATTTGATTTCAGTTATTCTATTCCAATTTTTAATATATTTTATTTCAATTTCTACATTCAATTTTTATATTCCATTTTTATATTATACTTCAGTTATTATATTCAATTTTTTTATATTTTATTTCAATTTCTACATTCAATTTTTATATTCCATTTTTATATTATACTTCAGTTATTATATTCCATTTTTAATATTTTATTTCAATTTTTACATTTTATTTTTATATTTTATTTCAATTTTTACATTCTATTTTTTATATTTGATTTCAGTTATTCTATTCCAATTTTTAATATATTTTATTTCAATTTTTGCATTCCATTTTTATATTTTATTTCAATTTTTACATTCTATTTTTTATATTTTATTTCAGTTATTCTATTCCAATTTTTAATATATTTTATTTCAATTTTTACATTCCATTTTTATATTTTATTTCAATTTTTACATTCTATTTTTTATATTTGATTTCAGTTATTCTATTCCAATTTTTTATATATTTTATTTCAATGTTTACATTCCTTTTTTTCTTAATACTTTAATTTTTACATTTTATTTTAATTTTTATATTCCATTTTATCTCTCACCCTCTCTCTCTCCCTTTCCCCCTCAGTTCTCTCTGCCTCCAGTGACAAGAGGCTCTACATGGGGGAGATCCAGTGAGGCCCAGGAGGGATCCTGGATGATTCAGTTCCCGGTGGGGAGGTGACAGCAGCTGGGTGTGACAGCTGTCCCTGCTGTCCCCTCCCCTCCCTCTGCAGCTTTTCCACCTCCCCTTTCTCTGGGGAGACAGGAAAACTCGGGATTTAGTTTTGGCTGTGCCACTGACCGTGAAACCCTTCTCCAGATCCCTTCAAATTGAGGGTTTTTGTTTCCTTCCCTGTCCCGTTTCTCGTGGGGTTTTTTTACTGTTAAAGCTGCCATAAATGGATTTTTACACAGCCTGGGGTTCATTGCTCTGCATTCTTCTTTCTCCTCTGTTAAATCCAGCTCCTCACCTGTGGGTGACGGGGAAATGGTCAGGGTTAGACTCAGGGAATGCTTTGGGTGGGAAGGGATCCTAAATCCCACCCAGGGCCACCCCAGCCATGGCAGGGTCACTCCCACTGTCCCAGGGTCACCCCCACTGCCCCCAGGGTCACCTCCCACTGTCCCCAGGGTCTCCTCCCACTGTCCCAGGGTCACCCCCACTGCCCCCAGGGTCACCTCCCACTGTCCCCAGGGTCTCCTCCCACTGTCCCAGGGTCACCCCCACTGCCCCCAGGGTCACCTCCCACTGTCCCCAGGGTCTCCTCCCACTGTCCCAGGGTCACCCCCACTGCCCCCAGGGTCACCTCCCACTGTCCCCAGGGTCACCCCCACTGTCCCTGGGATGTCCCTGGGGTGTCCCCACTGTCCCTGGGGTGTCCCATTGTCCCTGGGGTGTCCCATTGTCCCTTGGATGTCCCTGGGGTGTCCCCACTGTCCCTGGGGTGTTCCTGGGGTGTCCCCTCTGTCCCTGGGGTGTCCCATTGTCCCTGGGGGTCCCCACTGTCCCTGGGGTGTCCCTGGAGTGTCCCTGGGGTGTCCCTCTGTCCCTGGGGTGTCCCTGGGGTGTCCCTCTGTCCCTGCCCTCAGTGCCAGGAGCCCTCGTGGCGGTTCCAGGCAGATCCATGTGCAGATCCCCACGGAAGGGCAGCTCCAAGCAGCCAAAGCCGTCCCTGGAGAGGAGCAGGCAGGGCTGGGGGCACGGCAGGTTTATCTGTAAATAGCCCTGAAACACAACCCTGGGCACAGCAGAGCAGGGTCCTCCTGCCCAGGGCTGAGCCCCCTCCCCTGGTCCCGCTGGGGAGGGGCTGCCACACAGATTTAGGGTTTAATTAGGGCCTGTCATAATCCCGAGGGTTTATGGGTTTGTTTGGATCTACACCCAAGTGGCAGAGGGGAGAGAGACCCTTGGGGCTGGTCTGGGACAGCAATCCTGAGCTTTCCCGAGTCCTGCTTCTCTAAAGGAACCAAAAAAGGTTTTTTTTCCTAATTCCCACTCCAGGAACCGGCAGGGAAGCGAGGGAGGGGCATCATTCTTCCCCTGCCCTGAGTTCTGGGGCTCCTGAAGGCTGGGGCTGCCAGGATGGGGCAGTGGGGGCTGGCTGGATCCACAGCCACCCTGGGTGTCCCCCTGTGCCCCCAACACCCTCCATGGGCACCATGGAGCCGTGACCCAGATCAGGGAAATTATCTGGATTAAGGGAAAATCCCTGGATGAGGGAGCAGGGGGACAGAGCCAGGCCAGGATGGACAGAGCTGGAACAGGATGGACAGAGCCAGGCCAGGATGGACAGAGCCAGGCCAGGATGGACAGAGCCAGGCCAGGATGGACAGAGCTGGCCCAGGATGGACAGAGCTGGAGCAGATGGACAGAGCCAGGCCCAGGATGGACAGAGCCAGGCCCAGGATGGACAGAGCCCTCTGCTCCCACTGGTTCCCAGCAGCACCCAGGGGGATTTGGGCCAGTCCCTCTCTGTTCCCACTGGTCCCAGATGCACCCAGAGCAGCCCAGGCCTCTCCTGGCTCCCATCCCTGGCCATGGCAGCAGCAAAGCGTTCAAAGCTTCATCTGAGTGTGGAGAAAATTGTTTCTTTAAACAGATTTATTCCTCGGAGGGAGATATTTGCTTGGGAGATTTCCACTGGAGATTAAATCTTTCCTGGGATCCGGATAAACAGCCTGGTTCCATGGAGCTGTGCTGGGGGGGCTGATCCCTCAGTGGGGACTGAGGGCTGGAGGTGTCCCCGTCCCATCCCCGTCCCTGTCCCCATCCCTGTCCCCATCCCTGTCCCCATCCCATCCCTGTCCCATCCCTGTCCCCGTCCCC